CCAACCAGCCAACCAGCCAACCAGCCAACCAGCCAACCAGCCAACCAACCAACCAACCAACCAACCAGCTGAACCTGCACCTCGCAGCTGAACTACGCAGCGGGATCCGCCAGGTGTCAAGATGAGATCGCACATGAACTGGGCCACGTTGGCCCTGGAGCAGTCCTGCGGCGAGAAGACGCCGGTCTGCAGCTCGTCGAAGGTCTGATACTCGCTCACCGGCTTGTCCACCAACAAGTTGGGCCGGATCACCACGTGATCCACCAGGGGATTCTCGCTGGACCTCGGGCGAAGGCTCGGCGTTGCACGCATGGGCGTGGCACGCGTGGCCGGCGGCGTGGTCGGTGAGGCCGAGGAAGAAGATATGGTCCGTTTTCCGAGGATCTTGCGAGAGAGATGCTCGCGGAAGAAAAAAGGACAGCGCCACTTACTTCCACGTTGGGGGTGATGCCATGGTTGAGGGGAGATGCTGGAAGATGGGTGTTGCAGAGCTGGGATGGGCGGGGAAGTGCTAGACATTGCGACTATGCACACGTCTCGTCGGCTCGTCCGATGTCTTCTTTAGCTGTCCTGTCCTTTAGCTCTCGCATCAAGCGGCATGTTTTCATTGAGGTAGGCCGCCGTCAGCTTGTGGTCGTACATGGGAGGAAGCAACGTATTCAACAAGCCCACCATGAAGGTGGAGGCCCAGCCATGAGCCTTCTCCGAGCCATCAGCCTTGGGCACCAACACCGTCCCCATCATCAGGTACTTCGGGCGAGTCCCGGTCGTCTCGGCTTGTGCGGCTTGCTGCATGGCGGAGCAAATCCGCTTGCTGATGCTGAGGCAGAGGTCGTGCGGCTTGGCCCAAGGGTTTCCGACATGGCTCAAGCACGAGACCACCGCCTCGCAGCCTTTCACCTGCTCCAGGAGCTCTTGATCCGTGAGATCCAAGACACTACTGCACTGCGTCACGGACAGCTGCGCCTCGACAAGTTCGGCTGACAGGCAGCTGATAGGCAGCTGTGGCGGTGTTGAGGACATGAGTCGTGCTCTTAGAATGGATGATGTCTCACGCGCTTTGGGCACCACCATAACTCCCTCAAAAAAAAGACTTGTCCGGGGAGATCGTTCGATGCTGGGGGGCTGGGCGTGCCGCTGCAATTACAGACTCGCCAGGACTCACCCCAGTCCAGCATAGAGCCCAACACCAACATGACTTGAGGATTCTGTGAAGTTGAGGCCTAGCGCAGCCGTGGACACATCTAAACAAAACGCGCGAACATCTCCCACAACTGAGCCTGGACCCAAGAAACCGCCTCGAAGAACCCCACCGCCTACTCTCCAATATGCGCGCCACAAGAACAATGACGAACACCATGACCATCCATGACCCGCAACCCTTTGACACCATCAACTCATAAACACACGCCCCAACGGGCGGACAATTGCGGATGTCTTCTTCCCCCACTTCGGGTCCTCTGACTTCCAACTTCACCAACCTTCACCCTGCCCTACACCTCCAGCTCCGGCCTGTCCCTCGGGCTTCGGAAGCTTCTCGGGCGAACGCACCAGCGCGCGCACGGCGGCGCCGCGCTGCAGCAGCTGCTCCACCAACGGGATGCCCGTCTTTCCGGTGGCTCCCAGAACCAGCACGGTGGCGGGGGTGGCCATGGCGATTGGACGAAGAAATCGGGGAGCGAAAGGCGACCCAGGCGACCCAAAAGCAGACGTTGGGGACCTCGTGAAGGCATTCGTTTTCGAACCTTTTTGCACCACCGACCCTGTGATCATGGTGAGCGAGATCGATTCGTCCATGATCTTCCCCTCCAAGGCTAGTCGGTGTGCACGCCAACTTGATCGCTGAGGCAAGTGCGAAAAGGAATCACACAGGTCCTTCCTGAAGGTGGAGGTTCATTCACTGGCAAATGTCCATGAATCTGACACCCCGGGCCCACCAAAAGGAACTCCATGATCCCTGAATGGCCCGCTCTGCACAAGCATCTTTTGGTCAGAGGCCCGATGTCTGTTGGCAGGCCTGGTTGACAGGGCACAGGCACGAAGCAGTTCCCACTTCTGACACAAGGGCCTCCTCAAATGTAGCTGATGACGACATGCCGCAGTGACTGGGTCAGGACTCATGCGTGTGCAGCCTGTCTGTCGACGACCGTCGAGTGGTCACCAGGACTTGGCGACTGCTTGAAACAGCCGTCCTGCAGCCCCAAGAACCCACCCCAAAGGCCTCCACCCCACGTCTGTCCACGTAGATGCTTACTGCGTTGCTCCCTAGGTGGCTGGAGATCGGCGGGGCAAACGTGTGTGGACTGTCCACCGAACGCGAGCCTTGCGAGGTTCGAAAGGGTCCTTCTACCTATATATAGAGTTGCGTGCGCGCCCTATCAAAGCCCATCAAGATCCCTATATCTCTCAACTTAAATCAAGAGGTCCCAGCTCATGTATTGGCCTCGGTCTCATCTGCACAAACTCCCAGCAAGAAAAGAAAACCAGACTGAGAGTGAATACTGCCAGAACGCTAGCAACCCTTTTCTTCACGAAATGCCTGCCATGAATTCTCCGTGTCCTTGTCCTTCAGTCCTTCCCCTATGTCAATCTAAATCAGTCCTCATGCCAAGAGGAGTGCATGGACAGATGATGCACTCTCCCGAGACTTCCCCCAAAGCCAGCTCTGGTTCCCCCTTCCAAACACGCTTCGCCGAACCCTTCGCTTGCGGCCCGACCGGGTGCGACGACCACTTGGGCCCTGCGCGGAGAGGTCGATGGGGATGGGCGTGCGGTTCTTCACGGCCTCCTTGAACATGGCCTCGGTTCGGAGCTCCCGGCAGACCCGGCAGACCGGGGAACCAGCTCCGAGGTCGGAGTCGCATCGGAGTTACATCGAAGTGAGGGCAACTGGAATTCACTGGGTGACTTGATGTTGGGTCTTGTACCAGGTTTTCCTTGGAGTGCTTGTTGTTTTCTATCATGACGTGAACTCCCCTGGCAAGCTGGGAGAAGCCTACTGTAGGTTCCCAAAGCAGCTGCCAAACACCAAAGAAGCAAAAGTGGTGCATTTGATGTGTGTCTTTTGGCCTGGCCCAGGTGGCGCTGATGTTTTGAGGCTATGAGGCCCGGATCCCCTCTTCTTGCTCTTTCTGATGCTGTTTCTTCCTTCTTCTCCTTCTTGTTCTTTGTCTTCTTGCTTCTTGTTTCCTTCTTCTTCTTCTTCTTCTTTTGCAAGCTGCTTGAAACGGCACCTGTACTGCTTTTCTGCTCGCTCTCCTCGGCAGCAACTGTTTTCCGAGACCCAAATGCCGCGCCGCCCAGTCTCCAGAAGGTTAAAAGAGGTTTCTATGCACCTGGGGACGAGGGGCCACAGGATCAGATTCTCCACTGAGCTTTTGGAACGGAGTCAGCGGTCAACCTCAAAGGCTAGAACTGGAAGTCGGATTGACCAATGCAAGTCGAATTAACTGCTGGATGCTTCGGGTGCGCTCAGCTGAAGAACAAGCCTTGCGTGGTACATATGAGAAGCTTCCGACAGAAAGGGCATTGATCCGCATTGGTCAGATTTTCTTTGCAATCCTCAGTCTCGCTGGAGAGCCCACTGAGAAAGAAGAGGCCAAAAGAAAAGACCATGATTGCAGCTAGATTCGAGATCCACCGGGAAATGCACCCGTTTTTCGGCTCATAAAACCCAACATAATCCAACAAAACTAAAAGCCAAGAATCCCTGCAAATCACATGCCCACAGGGCGCCATCACAACCATCGGCTTCTCCTCCTCACACACCGCACACACGTGGACGTGCCCATGAGCGCCCTCGTGAGCCTTCAGGCGCTTGCGCTTGCTGGGCGGCTCCGCCTGCGGCTCCGCCTGCGGCTCCGCCGGCTCCTTCCGGGCCTTCCAGGTGGCCTCGAGCTTCACGGACATCCGTTCGCCGCGCTTGGACCGGCGCGCGACGCCGAAGCTGGCGAAGCCCAAGCGGCCCATCTGCCGGTGGAACTCCGACCTAGGCCGCTGGACTGACGGGAAAGCTCACTGGGAAAACTCACTAGGCAACATCCTCCGCGAGGTCAGGTGACTAAGATTAGTAAACAATAAGCTAGTAGAAACAAGTGCCTCGCTACTATTAAATGTAATTGGTTTAATTCAAATAGCTTTTTGTTACTACTAGTAAGGCACTTGTTACTAGTAGCTTCTTGTTACTACTAGTAAGGCACTTGTTACTACTAGCGATGCACTTGTTCCTAGTAGCTTCTTGTTACTACTAGT